AAGTCTGCGTTGTTTGACTGTAGTTAACATTCCCCTGTTTGTCATAATTTGGTTTGTTCAACTAAATGAAAACTAACGTAATAAACTAGAGCAAAGAGAACGACTTAAGAAATAAAATGTTGTTGACAGCCATCCATTGGTATGTTAGCAAGCACCACAGCCAGAGTATAGATTTGAAAACATTGCTGTGCTTCCTAAGGGGGGCGGAGGGGGGGATAAAGTCTTCTCCTTTTTGCCATGAGTGCGACAGATGGAGTAGTACTTCATGATAATTTTGCTACCTCTGCTTTGCCACGCACTGGGATGCACAGAGGGTTGCAGTCTCAAGGCCACAGGTGCTTGTCCTGGCAAGATTGCTGAAGCGCTGATTTGCCGTCTGGTGTTGCCCAGGGCAGGGTGTGTGTTTCTACAATACTGTGGGAAATGTAGTTACACGTTCTATTAGTGTACGTGAGGCAGCCATTTCTGATGCTGTATAAGTTGCAACAAGAAGCAAGCTTAAGAATGTTTTTGTTTTTCTATTACTGTGAGCCAGAGCGAGGTTGGTAAGAAATAAATTATGTCTGTGGTAAGGGGCTTGGGTCTAAGGAAGAAAGAAATATATTTGGATTGTTCTTTTTTTCTGTGCTTTAAATTACATCTGCAGTTGTTTTTGTTCAGATAACCCCTAGTGAAAGTCATGACTTGTTATATATGTTAAACGTTTTTCTGCTTGTCATCTTTTTGCATGAGTTGGCTAATTTATGAAAAGCAAACTCATTTAGCTTTCTGCCCTGTCAACTGACCGCTCTCTAGAAATAAAATGAAGCAGATGAACAGAGCTGCAGACTACAATGGCAAAACCGCTAAAAGATGAGGTTTTCAGAAGGAAGATGTGACCCAGTGGCTTTTCAGAGATGTAGTATCCACTGCCAAAACCTGTATCCTGACTGATCAGCTAGGAAAAAGGAGTTTGCTTTGAAAATGGGAGGGGTGGGAAAAATTCTTTCTGTCCTTCCTTCTGTCTTTCCTTCCAGGAATGAAGGGTTGCAGCTCCTTGTATCTCACCCCAGAGTTTGAGCAATTCTTTAAGTTACAGAGATACAAAACCCCCAAACACAATACGCATGTTAATACTGGTATTGAGCGCTCCCCTTGCTTATAGAGGGGCTCATAAGGGCAGTTACCTTCTTGTGACTTCTTGCATTTAGCTCAGCATCTGCTTTTTAAGTTACGAGTATAACACAGTCCTTTTACGAAGGGGGAGAAGGACTGGGGGTGGTGGGACTTGAAATGGAGTTCAGAGGAGAGACAACTCTGAAATGTCTTGGATTTTAGGTTCAGTGAAGCTTTGGGGTTTTAATGGCTGAGGGTTTGGGCCTTATTGTGTGGTTATACACACAGGACAGCTGAGACTTGGCCAAAACATCCTGCTGTGCATTGAATTTCATTCCATAACACTAATTTTTGAGATTATAGTGTTTTCGTCGATGATCGGTCCTCAGGCATGATATATCAAATGGTAATCATTGGAGAAGCATGAAATACTGTAGCTTCAGCTTTAATAATGTTTTTCCCCAGATATTAGTAATTATGGAAGGATTCTGTTGTATTGCTTGTATCTTTTTTTTTTTTTTTTTTTTAATGGGTGAAATACTTGAAAAGGGAATGAATAAAAGGAGAATTTAAAGAATGAATAGTTTTTGCTGGGCATGTTGCTCACAGCGAAGAGCAGACTAATTCATTTTCCTAATAAGGCTGCGCTGGAAGTTGGAATGTTTTGAATTGCATTAAATGTCACAAAAGCATTCATCAGAGAGGAATGGCTTGTGGTATGTTTAGAGAGCAAATTTGATCATGTTTGGTTGAAAAGAACTATTTACACATGCTAAATATAGCTGCTTTTTTTTTTTTTTCCTGAAAGAATAAACGACTTTGATGTAGAAGCCTGGGCAAAAACTTTGTGCACTTTCATTTTCAGTATTAGGCTGTCAGTAAGTGATGGCTGCTGCTTCTAGTTTTGTTGTCTATAATAATTCGTATGAAGCTCAAAACGGTAACCGTTTGCCAAGGTCTTTTGTGTGAGTTGTTCATAATAAGCATTTATACCGAGCTTTTATGGCTTTGCTTTGTTTGTAAGTTATTGAAAATATTGCATCAACTAATGTACTGAACGGCTAGTTTTAAATCGTTCAGAAAATAACCTACTTCAAGCCATCCAATTTTTCTAGTAAGTGATAACAGGGCAAGTATGTCATCTCATTCTGAAACCCTTTATCATCAGTTATTCATACATTCAGCGTGACCAAACCAGCATGAAATCCTAATGTGTTTAATTGCTAGGTGGCAAGCAAAGTGCTAACAGCTAAGAAAATGTGCAAGATTCTGCAGTTTAATTATTTTCTTTGCTATGCAATCTGGTAGTATCTATCAAAATCCCAAGGGCAAGAGCCCTGAAGGAAGTCTTTCCTTAAATGTATGTGTTGGACGTGTTTTGCTTTTCAGCTTGAAGTGTGCATTTCCTTTTGTACTGTCTTGTCTAACCACCATGCATTTTTCACATTCAGATCTTGGTGGCTCAGTTTGCTGGGTGAGCGTTTTCTTTATAGGATACAGGATAAATCATAGAATTTAGGCTGATTATGGTCTGAAGTCAACAAGGCCAAGTTAAACTGTTTGAAGTATGTCTGGGACACACAAATTTATGTCCTTGTTTCAAGTATGTTTGGGGGAAATAAAGTTGTCCTGTCTGACTCCAATGTTAAAAGAACATTGGGAACATTTCAGTTATCAAGTCTTCCCCTGCCCTTCTTTTTTTTTTTCTTTTTCTTTTTTTTTTTTTCTTCTCCTTATATGATACTTTTGAAGAGGAAGTTGGAAGAGTATGTTTTCACATCATCTGGAAATAGTGGTTTGAAATCACTTTTGCTCAGTGCTCTATTGATGAATGCAGAGCAGTCTCATTCATTGCAAACTCAAATTTGATTATTTTGCAAAAATAAAAAAAAAAAAGTATATTCCTTTTATGAGACTGGAAGATCAAGGTCCAGCAGCAGCAAAGTTGTTTGGTTTTTTTTTTTTTTTCTCAAGCATGAAATGTGGTAGTTGACTTGAATAATGAATGTCTTTCTGTTTCTTGCTGTTAGATCAGCTTAATAAATACACAAAACATTCCAAGTTACTTTATTTAAAAACATATGCCTAAGATATGGGGCAGGATGCATGTTTCCTTCTAACTCTGGTCTTAAAAAAGAAAGAAAAGTTCCCATATGTGTTGGCATCTCTTTTTTTTTTTATTTTTTTTTATTTTTTTTTTTTTATCCCTCCCCTTCTTGTTGCCTTTGTTGCTGCAAATTGACAACTCTGCAATTAGGAGTGATTAATGATGCGCCCCAGTGCTTCGGAGGGCTGGAGGTCGTCAGCCTTCTCATGGGCTGCACACTGTGAGAAAGGGGAGGACGGACCAAAACTCTCTCGCTGTTGATGTGGACATAATGTCTGTCAGCAGCGATGCACAGACGGGGACAGCAAAGTGCAGAAGATGATCTTTTCATGCGATTTTTTTCTTTTTTTTTCTTTTTTTTTTTTTTTTTTCTTCTGCCAACATAGTGTGCAGATTATATTCATCTCCCTTTTTGTAATTTAGTTACCAAACCTGCAGCAGAATTGCTATTGCTGGAATCTGATGAGCCCTGAGGGCCAAATGGCTTTGAGGGAAGGAGTAAACTTTTTGAACGTACTTAGTGAAAAGAAACAAGGAAATAAAAAGAAAAAAAAAAATAAAAAAGGAAAGGAGTTGTTACATGGACCAAGTGTGCCTAATTCAAATCTAGCTCTCCGTGTTTTTCTGGTAGAAATAGAAAAGCTGGTTTATACAATAGGGGTGTTTTAAATTGTAGCCTCTGTTAGCTGATCTCCAATTAAATGAACCTTTTTGCTTCCCTGGCAAATTATCTTTTGGAAATGAGAATCCGGCTTCAGTTCTTCAACACCCTGTTTAGAGGATTCATTGGAAATTGGGGTTGTGTGATTTCAGGCAGGATATGATTGCCGGTTCTTGGATCGTTAAAGGTGCCAGCTTTTCTGAGCGGTTACCAAATACGGCCCAAAATGTTTTGAAATGTGGCAGGAAGTCTCTTTTCTACCGAAACAGCATGAAAAGACTCAAGTGTGTCAGCAGCGACGTTTGCAGGCAAAATGTTAGTCTGTCAGACTTTTTGCTGGGCTTTTTATTTTTTTTTTAATTGTGTGTGTGTGTGTGTGTATATTTTTGCATATAAGTACATGTAAAGCTGAAAAAAAAAACCAAAACCAATCAAATGAGATGCCTTTACCTGTAACATGTTGCCAGTTCACTTTAGGTATAGTGAAATCCATCAGTTCTTTATCTTCTTTATCCTTTCCATTGCGATACTTCCTTTCCTTCCCACCACCCTGTAGTAGTTTCAATGCACCCATTGTTTGGAAGAAATTTTTTTGCCATCTACTGTGGAGTTCAAGTGACATTAACCTTACTTTTGAATACCAAGGACTGTGCAAAAAGTCTCTGTATTATTTAGCTTGTGAAGTCCTTCAGAAGGATTTTTGTTGTTCTAAAAGGAAGCGTTCTGTTTTAAGCCTGAATAAAGGTTATACGCTGTTTAAAATGCAATTTATCTGACCAGAGCTTTTGAGTTATGTGACATAATTTCTTAGGAAAGGATGGAAAACAGTAAGCAAATTGGAGCTGAAGTCTCCTAACTGGTGATACGGTCTTATGAATTTATGAATCAAATAGTACTTGACGACAGATGCTAGAGTTCCTAACATATCTGGATAAATTAATCCAGTGTGTTTTTGCCTTTTCCTTGTATTAACAACTGTGTCATAAGTTTAACTTCAATGCTTCTTCTTTCCTTTAAAGGAAACAAAATGAAACATTTTATATATATGTGGGTGGATGTGGGCAGTTGGAAGAGGGAAACGCTTAAACGGTAAAGAACTTGGTTTTAATGATTATGTTTGTGTTTTTCTTCTCCCAGAGTGGCTTCTATCCCAAAACCTGATCTTATTCATGTACCAAAGGTATGTTCATCATCACAAGCAAGAAATGTAGCATGTGGCACTGTAACCCATCTGTCAAACCCTTTTGTTGATAAGCGCTTTTATTCAAACTTCCCTTTCAATATAACATGCTTGATTACCATGTGTTATGTTGAGTAGTGCAGCATTTGAGTCTTTGAGTGATTTCCTCCTCCCCCCCCCCAAAAAAAAAAATAAGAGACCTGGCAAATCATTATCGACCAAAAAAAAAAAAGTTGTTAAATGTTATCTTTCAACTCTCGGAACATATTTTTAGAAAGATATTGTTGAAGTTTTTCCCCTATCCCTAAGAGAGAAACAGTAGTAGGGTTTTTTGGGAGGAGGTGGTGGTGTTGGTTGGTTGCTTTTTAACGGGCACTGAAATCTTCCTTTTTATTTGAAAGAAGCTTCTCTAAATATTAGAGTTTCAGAGAACGATTCCCCTCACTTTCCTTAGAGACCTGGGGAATTACTTGTTCTCAAGTTCTTGTAACATTATGTTCTCAAGCAATAGTTTCAACCCCCCATTTTTGATACAAAGGCTGTTTGCAAACCTGAAAATACTTACAAATGGCCTGTGCTTGGAAATCCTCTCCAGTGAACATAAATAACGTATAGTATATTACTATTCTGCTCACCATGATTTGAAAGACTGCAGTTTGGGAACTGCCACGTTAAAATGTAGCTCCCAGGGGGAAATAGAAAAAAAAAAAAACCCACATTTTGTGAGTGTTTTGATCTGACAAGGGTATATGAAGATGTTGGGGCACATCGGCGGAGTACAACTGGAAAAGCTCACTGTGTCCTGAAGCACTGGCCTCTAATAAATGACCTTCTGGGCTCTGGTCCTGCTCGTAAGGGCCGTATCAACAGATGAATTATATACCGTGTGTGTGTACACATGCACATGCCATTTGTGTATGGGGAATGTGCATATCTCAGATTGGGTTTGAGAGGTGGAATGCGGATTTTTATAAAACACACTAATCTCTTCCACATGAGTTACCCTATGGGCTTTGCAATAGAGTGGTTCTTTGGTTTGTCTCGATTTGATTTGTGGGGTGCCTGTTTTGGATACGATGAGAGGAGTTGGCATTGTGGGATTTCATATTGATTGTGCATGATTGGATTGTTTCCTTTCCTAAAATGTATGGCTTGGTTGGGTTGTTTTTTTTTTCCCCCATACATTTCATGTCTCGGTAAAGCTTGCTTCTATGCTTCTTGGTTTCACGCTAGGTGGGTTATCTCCCCCGAGAGCAGCCAAAAATACCTGCTGAGGAATGTGCATGCGTTTGGCGTGGTTTTGTGTGTTTCTTTTTTTGTTTTTCATCTCGCATAGGGAGAACCTACAGAAGTAGTTAAGCCTGTGCCCATTGCCTCTGCTGTTGCACCCAAAGTCACTGCCACGACGAGCGTGGCTTACAATAAGACACAGCCTAACGCTGAGCAGCGGTCGCCCGCACTGAGCGCTGCTAAACCTGCAGTTAATGTCCCACGGCAGCCCGCCGCGCACAATGCCGCCCCGAGCGCCTCTGCCGGCGACGGCGCCCAGGATCTAGCCGAGGGGCCTCGACGAGGATTCAGAGAAAACCAGGGGGAGAGTAAACAGCAAAATGGGTAGGTGGGATTTTTTTTTTGCTGTGAGGTTCTTTCCTCGCAGGAAAAAAGCTGGGCTTGTTTAAGGGCTAGGTAAAACGCAGCTTGGAGGAGTCGTCTAGTACTCAGAAGCGAATCTCTGAGGAAGGACTCGCATCTTAAGAGGGATGCTTCGAGGGATGCCAGACTTTCAGAGTGACGACATATCAGTTTATAGAGTGTCACAGCTAAATTGAGTCAGACCGCAAAATGCGTTACGCGATGGGTTGTATCACTATGGGTTGTATCACAAGGTGTTCTGGACCTTACAACAAGCCCGGTGTTAATTTTGATATCTGTGTCTCACTCTGTATTTTGACTCCCATTATGGTGACTGAAAGCAGCAGGCACTCAAAAATGCAGAGCGATCTGTCAAGAAGGGTCAGCGGGTGCTGTGATGGCCAGGCATGGGATGCTCTGGAAGACCAACTGTGGGCCTGGCAGGACCAGAGGAGAAAAGTCCCAGAAGGGCAGCAAAGGGACAGATGTCCCATTACTTCTCTGCGCAACACACGAGAAACTTTAAGATGCGTTCCCAGAAACTGGTGGGGTTGAACAGATTTTTTTTTTTTTTTTTTTACAGTGTTACGTTATAAATACCTCAACTTTAAATGTTACCTTTACCCTAAAAAAGCAACACAGGTTTAAAATCCAAGTCCTTTTCGTATTCAAGTAATCATTTACGCTAAAATAGATATCGGAGACCTGACATTTGTGGGGCTCTAAGGCTGCATAAAAGGCTTATACTATATCTGGTGCAGCATCTAGTCTAGTAAACAGTAGATTAGTAAATTAAACTGAGCCCAGCAACACTCAAACCTGCACCACTGCCCTGTTTCCGGGGGCTTCTGGCCAGGGCTGCCTTGGGCTATCCCAGAAATTTGTGGGCAGGACTCGGGAGCTCCAGCGCCCCAGGGACCAGTTCCCAGTGGCTGCCGTGCCCTGGGGAGAGGCGGAGGCTGGATGCTAGCAGTCCCATGCCAGTTGGCCTCTGTGCCCAGCAGCACTGTCCAGCACATTGAATAAAGTCATGAAAAGGGCAGAGGAGGAACTGTAGGTTTCTCGTCCATCTTAAGAACGTAAAACCCATGCTTAAAACCTAAAAGCTGTGGTTACTGTTTCCCGTCCCTCAAAGGAAAGGGGCCAGAGGAATAGGCCTAGTGCCTCTCCCCTCTGGTATTCTCTCAGTATATAAAGTATATGAAGAACCCTACAGAAAAGTAGACATCCACGTCAACTAAAAAACAGAATAAACTGCAGTTTCAGTTGAGCTTCTCAGAGAGGAAATAAACTTCTTTAGGTACCTATTCCCTTTATATCACAGTGCGAATATTTTCCATATGGGGACTCATATAATGCAGTCCGTATGCATTTTATATTACACCGTTGTCACGGTAACTTCCAGCCCTTTCTTAAACAGCTGATGGCAGGAGTCCACACTGCACAGAAGAGGGATGAAATCGGGAGATCCCAAGGACTTGCTCGATTCTGGTAGACTTGAATACACTTTGGCAAACCATCTCTTATCTTTCCAGGAATGCTGTTTTAGCAAATAACTCTGTAAGGAGTATTCAAAAGCAGCTATTAGTTCTGAAAAAGAGAAACAATAGCAACAAAATTAAGTCGCCTGGAAGGAAGCTCTGCAGGCGTAGACTCAGCACTTGACAATCAGGATGGGATGACTGGGTGAGCACCATTGCCCTGCCCTGCCTTACAGTTAGGGGATGAATAATACTAACTGAAGAGTATCAGCTGACAGGTGAAGAAATCCCTGTCTCGCTGCTAGCCTTGCAGATCTAGGCTGGGAAAGCTTGAAAACGTTTAGAGCTGTAAAAACCTACTTTATTTTTCTATCTTTCTTAGAATAGTGTGTTTGGGCTGTCTAACTGTCTTGCAGTCCAAAGGTAGAAAACAATAACAAGCAAACAAACCCCCCTAAAGTGATTACATTGGTCTGCTGCTCCACGACGTACTTAGTTTATATCCTGAATGTGGTTTGAGGGGAGCCAGGAGGAAGGGAGGAAATTCTGTGTATGGCAAGGTTCACATCTGAAGAACCGCATTTGCTCAGCAGTGCTATCTATGAAGAAGATACAAGTTGTGCTTTTTTTTTTTTTTGAGAAAATGAGTAATATAAAACACAGAAGCAAAATGGAATTTTCAGTCTGATCAATTACTCCAAATGTCAATGTTTCTGATATTTCATAAATGTAATTGATTCCATCAAGCATCATTGCAGAAATGTAATTTTTCTAAGTAGAACTATTTGCCTTCAGTTTAGAATGGGGAAGGAAGTTTTACTTCCCCTTATTTAGTCCTGGCTTAGAAAGAAAGTAATTTGCCTTCACTAGGCTGCATGCAATCTTATTTTTATCAAGACCTTCTTGCCAACTCTTGCATCAAAATGTGCCTGCTGCTTACAACAGGTAAGATGTCCACAGACTTCACTCAGTTTAAGCTCAGCTGGGCTAATTTTTTCCCTTGTAGGTTCTCTTGATGATTGTAAGTTTGACTTACGTGTTATATGGCTTTACCAGGGCTCGATTTGGAAACTCCTATAACGTTTCAAGAAGCAAAGAATGTATTAACACATCAAATACTTTTTTTCCCTTGCAGATAACAACAGTGACAAAGTTAGTATCGACAGCACTGGAGTTGAATTATGGTTCCTGTTGGAATAACCAGCATGTATTCTTGTTTTGCAAAATTATAGCTCTTACAGAGTTTTATATTTAAATTTTGCAAAACAGCTTCAGCTTTTCTTAGTAACTTCTTAGTGTAGTAAATGGTTTTGTCTGCATTGGACATGATGTGATCTTGCTTTTCACTGTGTTAAATTTTGCAGCTTTTTTTATTTTTATTCCACAAAACCATGTGTGTGGTGTTTGTGCGTATTGATAAATTCTTGGTGCACTTGTGGCTAATTGGTGTTAGTAGTACAACTAGTGAATGGTGAAATACAGTATAAAAGCAAAAAGTGGTTTGAGGACTACAGAATGAAGGGCCAGATACTGAATTCGTACAATAAAAATAAGAGTAACGTCCGTATACCATGATTTGTACATGTTGGGGATGATAAATATGATTGAGGTTTTTATTGGCTTGTCCTCTGTCCCTTTGCCTCAGGGCTGAGTTAAGGGAGAGCCTGCCTCATTGGATTTTCCTTTGTCTCTGGCACCACCTTGTTGCCTCAATGAGCATTACCAGTAGATTCTTAAGCCTTAAAAAAGGGACCAATAGGATCCACAAGAGAAGTCAGTGGGATATGTTGTTTATAATACCACTTTTAACAAATGTGAAAGACTACTTATTTCACTGTAGTAGTTGCTAGAATGCAGTCACCTGCATGTAAATAATTACATGTCCATGTAGTTCCACACCTTTAATTACTGCTTTAATTTTCAGATTTTATTTTTGCTATTAACTGTTTTGATGCTTTACTTCATTTTCTTTTTTTTCTCTGTACTTCTTGTACTCCATCCTGGAAATACCACTGTCTTTGTTTCTGTACCTCTCCCTCTTTTAGTAACTTTGATATGTGATACATGTACTTCACTAATACTGTGTGTCAATAAAGTCAATCTTTTGATATAATTTTGTATGATACCTTTCACATCATTCTTTCAAGTATTAAGTATTCATTTAAGCTTAAATATTTACTAATGCATTCCACTGAATGGGCCTAATTCTTACTTGTTGTTAATTAATAATTTACATAATTCGCATTCATATTTTCCACCTTTCTTCACCAGAAATACTTTGGACATTAAAAGTACAAGGGGGAAGTATTGGCAAAAATAAAAGTGACTTTTCAAGTTCAATTGGGGTTTTTAATTTTTGTTAGAATTGTTATGTCTTAGGAACTAGTTTTGCACAGTGAATCTCCTGTAAATGACGTAAAAATAAATGTACGTTTAAAGGGTTTTAAAATTAATGTTTTGGGATAACAAATGTAGAATTTAGGAGTAACACATACAGTATGAATCTTCTGTTCCCTTTTCCTGAACTGATTAGTGCCATTACATGTCCTTTACATCAGTTACTGAGACCAAAGCTCTAAAATACTGTATTGCAAGTCTGCTAGTGCAGGGATTGGTAACGGCGTGTAGGTTACTGTGGGGAAAATTTCCAGATGGAACTATTACCCCACTTTTTTTGACTTTCAGAGATGATATCGAGCATCAATATCTCCATGTTATGCTCCAGAACGTCGCTACCTACTCTTTCAGTTGGCCTGGTTCTGGTCCAGGCTTTGCCAAGCGCAGAAGACTCGGCGTGTGCTGAGTGGCCCTTGCACACAGCCAGTGCTTTGCCTCTTGTGAACCAAGGGGAGAATTTGTTGAGGGGCACCTGATCCAAACTACCCTGCTTTAGTAAAACAAATTCCCCTCTCATCCCCTTAAGGAAATCACTGTGAGTTTAAGTATGGGGGACCTGTGCTGCAGTTTTGGTAGTAGAATGAGAGTATCGCTATTAATTGGATTTCAGGGCCCTTTCCAAAAAAACCTAATTCAATAGAAAAATGAGCTGCACTTCTGTTTCAACTTTCTGACTTTATTTCTTGTTCTCTTTTTCTCCTTTTCCTGTTTATGCTGGGAAAACTCTCTTGCTGTCTTACTCTCTCATCTCCAAGGAAAAACCCACCCAAACGGTAACGGTTTAAATGTGTAAATGTCTTGATAATACTGTCTTTTGCTGTTTCATGTTCTAGCAGTGAAACAAGGAAAAATATTTCAGTTTGGTTAGAGAATTATAAAGCTATGTGTGGTTCAGAGGACTGAATCTGTGTTCAGGTGTGCCTGTAGAGCTCACTGCTGCACAGCTGCATCCAAATGCAGAAGCTGCCTTTGAACACTGTGATAAGTCCATGTCCTTGTACCTACCCCAACCCAAGTGGTCTCCGAAGGGTTGTGCTCACTGCTCTCTCCTCTCCTTGATGCAGCCCCCCGCGGAAGCACATCGTGGATACCTACACAGAGTTTTACCACACGCCCACCCACAGCGATGCCAGCAAGAAGCGACTGATCGAAGACACTGAAGACTGGCACCCCCGGACAGGCACCACCCAGTCCCGCTCTTTCCGCATCCTTGCCCAAATCACTGGCACTGATCACAGTGAGTAGTCTGATGTAAACGAAATAGAAGTAATGGTCTTGGACAGACAGGTGTCTTTTAAAAGCTGGTGGTGGGGCAAAATAGTAAAAGGATTCAGTAACATCTCTTGCTTTTTCCCTCTTGGATAATAAAACCAGTAGGCAGAATTTTGGTGAGCTCTTCAAAAGAAAAAAGTTTGAGAAGACTATAGTAGGAAAATATTTTTGTAAAACTCCTGCAGTTGCTAAATAGCTCAGGACACATACATTACTGGACGTTATTCCTGATTCAGTTGAATACTAATACATTCTAGATAAATCTTAAAGTTTCCATTTCTACTTCCAAAGATGTTGGCAGATAGGTATTTGTTGTTTCTTTCCCCTCCTGTATCGCCAAAATGGTGACATTCTTGTTCAAATTTAATGCTTCAGAAAAATCAAGGTGTTTTCAGGCATGTAGAAAATCTTTGACAGTCATACAAAGGTATGTGGTCTGCAGTGATTTAACCAATCAGAAGCATAAATCCATAGTTCCTTAGTTTATTCCCAGGTCACGTTTCCATCCTCTGCTTATGCTATGGTGTGATTATATGTACTGTGCACTGGAACAGATAATGTGAAGAAGGCCATTCCCAGTCACATAACTTTATGGTAAAACTTCAATTTCATATTATGCTGTCAGTTATAATTCACTGGCAGAGATCTGTGATGTTGTGTAAAAGCCATCAGAAGTGCCATCAGGAGATTTGAGCTCAGTCGTGTTCAGACTGAGGCAGCTAATGTAGGGGTGATTATTTCATTCTTCTGCTTTTCACAGCTAGTGCTACTATACAGAAGGCAGTGACGAAATCGGGCTCCCTCCACGGGGGCAGATTTGATTAAATCAACTATCGATTCTCTGGCAGAATTACTCTAGAAGCCAATTATAACATCTACCCATAAGGATTATTGCCCATGTGTGATAAAATATTCTGAACTCAGACAGTTAACTGATTGTTTTGTGGTCCTGCGTTGCACTAGTCTATTAATGGATAGCTGTCTATCTTTGGATTCTCTTCATTAATCCTTGTAAGGGCAGAATATGAGACCTGAACATCAAATAACATGTCATCCAGTACTGATTACTTAATCATGTTGACAAATACTATAAGAAAGTGACTGCAACTGGATTTGCCAATATTAAATCGGGGCTGCAAGTATCCCGTGTGCAGTCCTCTAGCACCTTGGTGGGTCACAGCCTGGCTGCCAACAGATGCTTGGATTATCACCTGGTAGAAACCCACTGGACATTCGTCCAAAAGAAATGCCTCCCAATTTCCATTAATCTTCCCCATCTCAGCTCACCTTTCTCAATGCTGATGTGGAGAGTGTGCCAAAGGAAAAGGCAGAGACCAGCAGAGCCACCTTTTGGCAGTCCTGCTGGCAAAGGGGCTCTTGTAGACATACCTCATTTCCATTGGGGTGTGTTTAGAATCGAGGAGTCCTAATGAGCTTTGTTATAATTTGCTGCTGTGGTAAAGCATTAGCGTGGGGAGGATCTCGGTGTACGGCGGTAGTGTGTCTTTAGTGCCTTAGATAATAAAATTTTTCTGTTCTCTTTCAGTGAAAGAACCAGAACATGAAGCTGCGAAGAAGACTAAGTGAGTTGATGTTTTATGTTTTTTATTACTTTAATACTTTGCATGTCTTAATTATCAACTGATAGTGTTTGGTGCATTTGTGTGACATCTGGGTGTTTTTAAAAAGTTGCTTCTTGTTTTGACTTCTACTTCAGCATGTAAAAATCAAGACCTTTCTCTGCATAGACCGACCTTTTTAAATCTCTTGGTGCAGTCCAGTATTAATGTTTGTGCAGGAGCTTGAGATCTTCCGTAAACTTGGACTGGTTTGGTCTTCTGTACAAAGTCAGCTTGTCGATGTGTTTTCCTTTTCCTAAATCTAACCAGGCATTTTTCATTGGCGAGCGTGGATCAGATTGCAAGGCATAGCTGGAAAGTATTACCATACTGGACTGCGAACAAGGGTCAGCTGTCTCCTTGTTTTGGGATAAGGTTGTTCAAAATGAGGACCAACCAGTGGCTAAATCTAATGGTTCTTGCAGTCAGTGGGAGTTTTTTTACTGGCCTTGCCTAACACTGGATCTAAGTTTTTGACAGAAAGGAAGCCAATGTGCAGATAGGAATAGTGCATAGAGATTGCATGCTCCCTTGTGAAACTGCTTAAGACAAACTTTCTTTCTTTCTTTCTTACTTTTCTTCTATCACTTCTTTCCACAGGGAAAAGGTTCCCATCCACGTCTTTAGTCCCAAATATACAAAATTACGTGACTGGCACCATGAAGTCTCAGCACGTGTTCTTAATGTCCAGTGATTTTACCCAAGTTGCAAAAGCAAAATACAAACACTTCCTTCCTTTCTTCTTTTCTATCTGCTTTGCAAAAAAAAAAAAAAAAAGAAGAAAAAAGAAAACGTATTTCACTGGCTTTACTGCAAGAGAAAATCTAGCCTTTTCTATACTTTTCTAACACTTTCCTACTGATGTGTAAAAAATGAGATGAAAATGTTTTTGTGCTAATCACTAGTTGACAAAAAAAATGTATTTAAAACAGAACAACTTGGGTGACTGAATCTCCCAGCGTGGGGGAGGAGGTGGCTGTTGCGGTTCTTTTTTTGCCTTAAAGGAGTCATGTGCATTGATGAGTTTGAGTTACTATAGGTTGTTAGAAAGCAGAAGATTATGAACAAAATAATTTGTATTACTTTGATTTTGGGGCTGGGGGCAGAAGACAAAGAGGGACTATATGCACTAATTTCAAACTATTGTACTTACCATGATAATTACCTTGGATTTCACTAGATTTTTAGTAGGTCAGTTTTAGAGTGGGTGTAAATGTTTTACAGAGTAGAGCAAGAAGACAGACTGCTTTTAAGCAAATAAAAGATAAATTTAAAAAAAAAATCCAATCTTGCAAATCAAAGTGCAAGCTCAATATAAAGATTCTGCAGCTTAAACTAGTAATATGTTCATAATGTGGAAAACTTAGGAAAAAAAAAAAAATGAGCAGAATGTTGCTGTGTACCTGTAAGAGCTTCAACACATCCTCTTAACAAGAACAAGATAAGGCAGTAGTATTTATTTATTTCAAAGTGAAGCTCATAGGCTTTCTTGTGTTTATAAAAGCTTCATGGCCCTATGGTTCTCCTGTAAAATAATGTATTATAGTAGCTACACATTCATTAATTTATGCTTTCTGAAGCTTGAAGAGTATTTTAATAAAAGTTGCTTTTATCTTAGCTCTGTCTGGTTTTTTTGGGGCGTCTCTCTGACTGCTTTAAGTCTTCTCATGCATGCAGCTTTAATTTTATTGCACCTTCACAGATTATAGTAAGAGAAACAATTAAATCCCTGCTGCATAGTAGAAACAAACTGAATTATACAACACTATCACAGTAGTAGAGCTTCTGAACATGTTAAAAATGGGCTATGTGTTTGTGTTGTCAAAATCTACACGACACTTGCAGAAATCAATAAAATAATTGACCTTTTGGGAGGTTATAGGACTAAGAATTCTACTAAGTAAAACTCACTTGCAGCCTTTGTAACATTTGTTGAGTCACTGAAGTTTCAACCTCAAAGGTGAATTGTAAAGCACATATATAAGTCCAATCTTTCATAATTACTTAAGGAGAACCATTGCAATTGGCTTGTAGTTTGTGCAGCTGACCCTACAGGCTTTTCCAGATTGGTCCTGTGAATGGATCGATGTCCACTGCAAACAATTCTGCAGACCTGGGGGGCTTGGGTTTTTTTGTTGCGCAACTTGGAAAACCGAAAGGAATGGCAACCTTTTGGAAGCATTTTGAGCTTGTGTTTCCTTTTCAGATGGTTTATATGGTTATACAATATAGCAGTAGCTTACGGTATTTGTCATTTTATCTTTAGGAAAAGCCAAACAGAAAATGGACACATCAGGTAATAGCCAAGTTATCTAACACTAACAGTCACCGATGTGGACGCCTAACAATGCACAGCATAAAGTACAATTAGATTTGCACTGGTAATGACAGACCAAGCCATGTCACATCCTACACACCTTTTGGGTTAACTCCTTAAGGGCAGCAGGGGAAAACACTCACTTTAATAATTTCACTACAGACTGTTTTGATGAGAAATGCCGATCAGCTTGACTTCCCCCTGCCCTCATCACGTAACTCTCTAGCGAAGTACTGTGTTACTAAAACCCAGTGTGTTACTGAGTGCACATACATCACAGTATAATCGTTTGATAGAATAATACATATTAAAGTAGGAATGTGAAATAGTGTATTAAAATTGTTTTGTTGGGTTTAAAGAATGTTTTATGAATGGAAAGGAAGGCAGGAGTTTTAGCAGACATCAACGCAATGAACACTATGAAAGATTATCACTTAGACTCTGTAAAGTTTTCTTCATAAGAGTGGGATGGTTTGGCCTTCAAGTGTTTTTGTTTTGGAGATGTCCCTAGGTAATGAGAATATTTTCATGTTGGTATTCAACTTAGCATTATGTTTATCTGTCTTACCAGCTCTTACCCCTTTGAAGGCTGAGTTGCTTTAGAGAGAAATGGAAGCAGCCGCCTCTCCAAATAATCTAAAGTATAGAAGTCTGTTTTGGTTAAAAGTAAATGTAGTTAATCATAGAGTCTATCTATTGAGGATAAGAGAATAGTTCAAGAAAGGCTACCGAGAATGTTAGTTTCCTATAAATTCATAGTAACGAATCACTAGTTCCAGAGATGCTTTATGAATGTGTGAAATTAATTTCATTTACAGCTTTGCCCAATATCCCTATTGCACAATACCTGTTGATGCTAAAATTTAACTTCATTACTGTTTCCAGAACAGTGGACTGCTTTTCCATTTGCATGTGGATAACATGCTCTAGCTCATGTCTGATTCCCAGCATACATCTGATCTTTGAAAAATTCTGAGTAATTTTTGATATAAATGAATAAGCTTAAATGTAAGTGATCACCTGGAGGGGAGAATATGGCAAACAACAGAATAGAAACTCTTAAACCAGTTACTTAAAGCTTAGAAAGGCAAAGTCTAGCCTTTATATCAAATTTATTTACATGTTTTAGTAATTGATTAGTTCTAATTTTTCTGCACCCTATTTCCAAGTGTGTTCTAGATGTTCACTTTTAGCCATCCTCTTTTGAGCCACTGGGTACAGATTTGGTTTTCCCTTAAATGGTAGAGTCAATTCATTTTCCTGAGTGAAGCTGTGTCTGGATTTTCCAGATTTGTAGTTTAGCTAATCCAAAACCACTGGAAAATATTTGTCCCACTCTTGGTCAGTCCTGAAACAACCTGTCATGTATGATGTGATTTTTATTTCCCCCCCTCCTCATGTCATGAATATCTGTAAAGCATGCCTGCAGATCTACCTAATGGAGCAGGAGCCCAGGATACCTGTATTAATCTGAATAAAAACTCCGTAGCTGCCCCGACTTTGGAGGTGCCACCTGTACCAGAATTTCCATCCACACCTTTACCACCTATGAGGTCTGCTCCTTGGTTGTTCCTAAATCTGTTCAATAATTTTCAGCACTTAAGGCTCCCTCCTTTATTAAGATACTTAATTCTGCATGCTAATATATAAAAAATAAAAGGCAGCAATGCCTACTCCTATGGGTAATTCAGTCTGTTCAAAACTAGTGGTTGTGATTGCTCTCTACCTTGTAGATGACTTCTGTGTCTTGTGGTGAGATGTCTGACGAGTGCTTTTCTTCAAGTAGAGGGCCTTTAATACAACGTTCTCTAGATTTTTTATTTTTTTCCCTGTCATGACTGAAAAAAAGAACGGATATGAAAAAATGTTGAGAAATATGTACTCTAACCTTCACAAAGCTAACACCCTAAAAAGTTGCAGCACAAAGTGCATAAACCTTTGGGAGTGAGTCTTGCCAGCACTTACGGCCGTTTCTTTTCCACTGTTTCCTAAGTGTTTTCCATCACGTAGGGTATTACTAAATATACATGTTCCATCCTTGTAAATGTAAAATACTACTTGGCTTTCCGAGTTTGTAAGCAGCAGGACACTTCTCTAAGTGTGACATTTCTTAAGTGCGTTGTGCCTCGTTTTATCCACCTACTTGTATTTTGCTGTAACCGCCTTTTTTTTCCCCCCTCCCAATTTACTAACCTTTTTGTGTGCAGCGTCTCCTGTTCAGCATACTATTTCAATGTGGATTAAAAAGTCTCTTTCTCTGTGTGTCTCCATTTGGTTTCATTACTGTGAATGGAGTGAAAACGGTGCTAGGCCAGAACCTGCGGCTGCTCTTTTGCCGACAGCAGAGTCCTCCCCTGGCAGTTTCCCCTCTCCCAGACTTTCTGAACTCATTGCCGCAGCAGCTCCTGGGAGGTAAATCATTCAGAGGGGGTTTCGATTCAGTTAACAATCTGTCTATATGTTGTTCTAGCCTAGATTTGTCTGTCTTGGCGGAGAGAGGGTTGTCTGTCATTCACTTAAAATAAACTTTATTAATCCGCCGTGACTAGGGATTTTCCTGGAAATGGTAGGAGAGGGAAGGAGAAGAGAAATTAAGTAAAGCTGATCAGGTTCATGACCAGTCTAATGAATACCTGTTAAAATAAGACACAATATTTAGTGTGTCTTGGTACGTTGTCAATGGGCGTCCACCCTATCATTTGGATGGAATAACTTTTTCGTGGTGTCAACAACTCAAAAGTGAATTCTGATCTCTTCAACACACAGAAAAGTGTCTTTAAAGATATAAAAATATTTCTTTAAAAAGTGGATTATTTCATTCATAACACTGTGCTGTGATGCAGTCAAAGAAAACTAGATGATTATCTGGCAAATTTCCTGTTACTGGCCTTGGATAGCTTCACCGGAACTTATCTTGGCAGATTGGTGATGTTTTGGAGGTCATCTATGGGTACTAGACAGCAATGGTAATTTTGGATGCAAGACAGTGACAGTAATTTGGAGGGGTATGATTCTATTATTGAAGGTCTGTAACATTTTCTGGTGGTTAGTGTTTCATGGTGCAGGACTGCTTTTTAATTCCAATAGCTGGTGTTCATTACACATGCACAAGCACATATGCCACAAACCAAACCTGTTCCTTTAAAAAAGAGAATTGAATGAACAACGCCTGGTCCTGCCAGGCCCCTAGGCAGAGACTTGTCCTTGTGAGAAGCATAGAGGGATATACTATTGCCCACATCTGTGGGGGCTTTTTGCAACTAGAAATCTAATACTAAGATTTGGGATTGGTGGTTTCCTCTTTAAAGTCATAGTCTCAACCAGCTGAGAGAGATGAGGCAAAAGTTCACAACAAAATAAGTCTGTTTTGTTGCAGTGTCTTTTGAAGCCTTTTTTGATGTCTGGGAGAAGAGGGGTACCTTCATGAGCTAACATGAGATTAGTCAGGACGGGACGGTGGGTGATGACGGAGTTTAGCTTGGGCAGCAGGCTAGTACCTTCATGATAATCTTTGATTTGAGCCAATACAAAAAAGAAGAATTGGTTGTGATGGTTTCAGCAGCATGTTCTCTTAAATACTAGGAAGCAGATGGGTGAGTAGTTATGAGCACCAAAGATGAAAAATACACATGAAAGGCATATGGCAATACTCATAGTGGTTTGGTTTTTGGTTTGTTTGTGTTTTTGTTTTTGTTTTTTTTTTTTTTCTAAAGCAGAAAACCTGGGATGAGAAAGGCAAGGGGAAAAGTATTTCTTCAATAATTGATTTTCACGTCTACTAATGAAACTCTAATATGATTCCACCTACGGAGCTGCAGATGCCTTGCAGATACTGCTGCTACTGTGTTCTGAGTACCAAAGGGTTCCTTCTAAATCCGCACTCTGAATCTATGTCCAGAGAGAAGAAATTAAAATCTACTCTCAAGACCTATGGCTCGAAGTGTATTACTTGGCAAAATGAACCTAGCAAGAGAGCAGCTTTAAAATGAGCCACAGGAAATTGGGAAGGACAACTGCGTTCATGGGGGTTCAGGATGAGAGCTGAAGTACTTACACAAATAGTCAAAAAAGTACATGATGAGTATTTTCTATTCAAGAAGGGCAGAAATCTGAGCAGCTTCTGCAGAGCTGTAGAAGGAAGGATTAGTATGTATTAGCATCTCCTGAAATGAGAGGTCATCAGTGTAGCAACTGTTTTTTATGTTTATGTTCTGTTTCTGAGCCAAAGTCACTGCTCTTGTAATACTCTTTTGCACAGGAAATACACCCAAAGGTGATCTCCAAAACTCCTTTTTTATAAAATGGCAGCTATCAGAAATCCATCTGGAGGAATTTGGCTCATACCATGTCAGACTTCCAGTAAAGCAGAATTGGGCCATCTAAACATCAGTAGGCTTGCTTTTGCCACTAAAGCCCCAAATTTGTTGTCGATGACTGGCATGGGTCTGTCTTTTCCTAATGGGCTCCGTCTTTTCTTGGCTGAAGCTCTTTGATTTGTACCACCCGCTACTGAACCACCAAGAAGGAGAAAGAGCTTGCTGTGAAATGTATGAAGGATCTGGATTTGATTACTGGCTTAAAGTTAGGTTCACTGCTTATAAGGCAGACTTCATAATATAAAGCATAATGCTTTTTTTATTGTAGTTTTAGCTCTTTATTGAAAACCCAAACTAGTCATATGGCAATATAGCCAACTACTGTAATTTATAGTGTAGTATTACTCAATTTCGTATATGCAATATTCTCCTATAAGTTTAACAGTAAAATGTTTAAGAGCAATTACAGCCTTTTCAGAATGTTGCAAAAAGTCATCTTAAATAGTCATCCTGGCAACTTTAGACCATGTAAACCACAGAATCTGGCACTTCCTGAGAAATATATAACTAATATAAAGCAGATCCAGTGCCAGCAGGTCTTTAGATTGCCTTTTTATATGCATGCTTTTTACAGTCATAGCAACCTACTTTTATTTCTTCTTTTAATGGAATTATTCCTCATAGTCATAAATACAAAGAGTTAGCATTAAATAGTAGGTATTAATCCTGATTTTTGTTGTGTATTTTCTGATTAGTGGACAGCCAAGAATATTCTCTGCAGAAATTGTAATTTCTGAGAGTAATTTCTTACTCCTTTTCTAGCCAAAGCTAGTGAAAAATGGAAATACAATGAGAACGTATGTACGAATAAAATTTGGAGTCAAACTTGCTGTTTTCTTGCTCTCCCTTTGGAGCACATACCCAGTGTGATTTATTCCCCTTCTCCTCGCTGCCTTCAAGGCCCTTTTTATGACTTACAAAGTTTCACAAAGAAGCCGTATGAAGTTTTGGAGAGCTTGAGGGCAAGTCCAGGGAAGGGAATAATCTCTGCAAACCCCTGTTTTCTTGGGAATTGCTGTGACTGCTGCGCTACTCTCCTCAACTCAGCCAGTTCTCCTTTTCAGCAGGTTTGGCATTTCTACGTCAGTTTTCCTAAACAACTTCCCTCAGCTGTAGTCATCATGCAAAAAGGAATTTGCAAAGACAGAAGCTGCTTGTTTAATTGGCAAACGAGCATCAGGCTGGGGAGAAGAGGAGGTCCTGGACTGACCAAACTAAAACTGTCAAAACTTTTATGGTTGTCTGGTGACAAGCAAGAGGAAGTAAAATACAGGGGCGGGGGGTGGAAATACTGCTTTCTTGTGGTGAATGCTACTTGTCCTTCTGTTTTCTTTTACTTCAGAGAAGTTTTGTTTGAGAACCCTTTGGAAGCCTTACCCAAGTGCGCACCTCATCCCCCTGCAATTTTTGAGGTTTTAAATACCAGCAACCAAGTAGCCACAGTGTCTGAAGTGTCATCTACTTACACTAGGTAGAGTTTCTAATATACTGGTTGTGCTCTTGTTCAAGTTTGTTGTCTATTTTTTGAGTAACTACTTCACACTACCCAAATAGTTTGGTTTTGTGGTTAAACAAGCCTGGTTCTAAGCTCTTAAGCTTCAACTGTAAAAATGCCCCGAAGAACTAGTCCTAGGGGATGAGTATTTGGTTCCTAGGGAAGGAGGAAAAAAAAAAAAAAAAGCCCTTATGTGCTACCCACTGGTTCTTCTTACCAAAGATGCAAGAAAACCAGCTGGAAAGAGTTGGCCATTACCATCTAGGGTTTTTAATCAAATGGGAAATTTCTTCTCCATACATTGTCCCGTTATAATTACTTGTGAAATTAACATCAACTAGGGAAATAACTGCGGAGTTGCCTGCTCCAGATGCAGCAAGCTTTCTGACAGCTGATAAAGCGCCTTCTCTCCCCGTGAAGTGCACCGTGGCCACGCAGACCTCTGAGCTCCTCCTGCCCACCACCACGGCTGTGCAGCCACCTTTGGCATCCCCCCCTGTGGAAACAGCTCTCGTGCTGCCTCCCACTCCTGCCAGGTACATCCGAACCCACTGCCTTAAAAAGGCAGGCTCAGAAAACTCTAATTATACATAGGCTTTCACCTGATTTTTTTTTTTTTTTTTCATAATGATGCTATCAAGATGGAGCAGCTTACAGGTGTCTCCTGACCCTCACGCTGCTCTGGAAACTCATTGTAAAGAATTTTTTCCTTATATCTAGCCTAAACCTACCCCGATTTAGTTTAAAACCATTACCCCTTGTCCTAACGCAGCTGGCCCTACTAAAAAGGTTTTCCCCCTCTTTCCTATAGGCCCCCTTTAGGTACTGAAAGGCCGCAATCAGGTCTCCCCGCAGCCTTCTTTTCTCTAGACTGAACAAGCCCAACTCTCTCAGCCTGTCCTCATAGGAGAGGTGCTCCAGCCCTCGGATCATTTTAGTAGCCCTCTTCTGGACCCGCTCCAACACTTCCATGTCCTTCTTGTGCTGAGGGCTCCAGAGCTGGACGCAGTACTCTAGGTGAGGTCTCACCAGAGCTGAGTAGAGGGGCAGAATTACCTCCCTCGACCTGCTGGCCACGCTCCTCCTGATGCAGCCCAGAGTACGGTTGGCCTTCTGGGCTGCCAGGGCACATTGCCGGCTCATGTCCAGCTTTTTATCCACCAGCACCCCCAAGTCCCTCTCGGCAGGGCTGCTCTCAATCCTTTCTCCCCCCAGGCTGTATTGATACTGGGGGTTACCCCATCCCAGGTGCAGGACCTTGCACTTGGCCTTGTTGAACCTCATGAGGTTCACACAGGCCCACCTCTCCAGCCTGTCCAGGTCCCTCTGGATGACATCCCGGCCTTCTGGTGTGTCAACCGCACCACTCAGCTTGGTGTCATCTGCAAACTTGCTGAGGGTGCACTCTATCTCACTGTCCAAGTCATTGATGAAGATGTTGAACAGCACCGGTCCTAGTACGGACCCCCGTACTAGTACACAGTACCCCTAGTACGTACCCCGTACTAGGGGTACTGTGAGTAGCTTTTAGGCAACAGTTAGAAAAAGAGTTTGAAAATTAAAGTGGGCCTTACGTGGAGGCGGAGAAACCAGTCATGGGTAGGAGATTCAGTTGGAAGGTGACTTTGTCAAAAGATGGTGATGTGGGGTGAATATATAGTGTCAAAGTGTGGAAGAAGGTTTTTGGGGGAAGGCACAGCACAGTGTGCATAATGTATGATTCTTTGATATGACACATTTTACTGAACTTTTAACGTTTATTTCAAACGTTAGTCACCCTTGTTATAAAATGTGTATTTTTGAATTGTCCAGTAACCTGAAGTTCTTGGAGGAGAATACAGGTGTTAACTTTTGTAGTGACAGGACCTCCAGACTATAGTGTTTACCAACAGGGAAAGAAAGTGCTTCCTTCAGTAATTAACAATCAGGGATATTAAACCATAACTGTTCTTTTTCTTTTTTTTTTTTTTATGGGTAAGGAGGGCTTTTAAAAATCCTTAAATGAACTCCTCCTGAGCTTTAGTGAGCATTGCCAGAAGAGTAATAAGTGTTTGATTAATGACTTTTCTTCTCTTGCTGCTTTTGGACAGGCATGATACATCTCTGCCTACTTGCGAAACAAGTTATTTCAGTAAAATCTCAAGCTGTCAGTCTAAATCGTCCGTAAGTCATACAAGGTAAATCTTTTAAGGTATATCTACAGCAGACTGCTAGGTGTAAGCAAGGTTTTCAGGCAGCATTTTTGCATTTAAATCTGAGAAGTGGTGTAAAGTATAGTTGTGTAAGTGTTGGGAGTGTTTTGTTCGCTTCTGAAATATTTTTAAAAAATGCAGTTCTGTGGATAATCTTGAAATTTTGAAATAGAGCCTGGGTTATGGATTCACCATTGTAGAAATAATTTTGGAGCCAGTATGTTTTTCTGCTTTTATTTTTTGCCTGTTCACCATTCCTCCCAACCCAATTAATAAGTAGGGAAAATGAAAAGGGGGTGAGGAGCATGCTAAATTTGGTACGGGTGGCTAAAAATAGACCTACTGAAGTTATATCACCAAATATCGCAAAGCTTTCCATGTTTATTATTTGTTATGAAGAAGAGAAGCAAAATGATCTTCAGAGCTCTTTCTGTCAGCATCACGGAGGCTTAGATGGATCCATGTGGAGTGTCCTGGGATTCAGTGGGAATGTTCCAGGGGTGTGAGGCAAGAGTCTGGGATGGGGAATTTGAAGGCTGATAGATGCTGAATCCTGACTTGACAAGGAGAAAGTGTTATTTGTGGGTGAAAAAAATTGCTGTTTTCTGCATTAGTATTCAATTGGCTAATGCATTGCCTGATGTCTTTGTGAACTGGGAACCTACAGTCGCATAACTTTCCAGTGGTTCAGGCAGTCTGGTATTGTACTGTGTCTCTGTCAATCTTTCCTGCTTTCTCTGTTTTCTCCTCTGTTGGCTCAAAGCTTCTGTGCCAGAAAAGTACTGCTGGAAAATCCTTTGGGAAGTCTGCCCAAGTTTGGACCTGCTCCTCTTCCCATTCTTTCTCCTTTCAAGCAGAGATCAAAAATTAAGAGCGTGGCTGCTGCTGCTGTGTCTGCTGCCATTGCTGTCCGGGCCAGGTAGACATCAGCTTTAAAAGAAACGTTTTATAGCTTGATTTAAGAAAGTTCAGGCTCACACAAGAATAATCAGTTCCTGGCAGGATTGCAAAATGAGCTTTTTCACAATAGCGTGGTGGGCAAGTCGTTAGAATACATCCAAGGCTCCCATCCCCTATTTTTAGCTTAGCTCCAGGCTGCTGCTCTGAACCTTGGTGAGTAGTTCTGCCTTTCTGATCCTCATGATACCCACTTATGGTTCAGTCAGTAAACTAACTGTAACAAATACTTAAGTTACAGGGGTGACAAAGAATAATCTGCATATTTGAGTAACTTCTGGATGCTTGAAGACAATAACTCTGAGTTGCATCTAAATCTTTATTGCATTGCTTTTTATAGAGGCTTACTTAAACCAGTAGTCTCAAGTTTTTCAATCATGCACCCATAACAGTAAAAACTTTTTGAGCATGCATCTCCAATATATGTATATTTATGTGTTTCCTAATTATGTAAATGTCCTAATGTACTAGTACTAATGTACTATGTACATTATAAAGCATACACAAAAACCAGAAATTAAAAAAGGATGAGAAAAAGATGAAATAAACACTATTTAAAAATATTTTCTATTTTACTTTATTGATGGTAAAAATAAAATAAAAGGAAGTTTCTCTCACCCCAATGGGTTGTCTTGCACACTCCCTGTGGTGTGCGACCTCCACTTTGGGGACCGCTTATTTAGACATAATTTCTAAATCAGTTATTCTAGGTTCAGTTTCTCCATACTGCTACAGAATGTACAGGCTTTTCATTAGGGTTTTCGGGTTTGCAGTGGTCCCAGCTAACTTGAACTTTGCTTGGTCAGCTAGTTTGTTTACGTGATCTTTTTAAACGCTTGCTAGACTCTCCGAACCTAGTGTCTACCGCTCGCTCTTGGATGCCCTGCTCATCACACCTGTCACTAAACCTCCTCTGCAGGCCATCGGGCCCTCCAGGAAGTCCACAAGCGCTCTGGAGTTGAAAAAGAGCAAGAGGTATTGTCCGAGCACGGCACGTGGTTGGCATTTGAGGACTAGCAAGAAACTGGCTTCTCCTTCAAAGCCTGTTTCTGTTGTCTGCACGCTTGAAGCATTCTGCCTGTTGTGATCTTTGGCGCAAGGTCACCAACCCCAAATCCTCCTGGCTTTCACCTCTTTGCAGAACTAATCTGCACCCTGGTCCTGCCGGTGGTGTTTGTGCAAGTTCACCCTACTAAGCAAAGGTTTCCTCGCTTGCATCAGGTGCCCCTTCTGAGACGCATGGTGCTGTTTGTGTTGTGTTGCGTTGCGAACCTCCGAGGGAGGCACCGTCGCTCTAAAAATGCAGCTGGAGAAGAAACAGGGTATTCTGGCTTGAAACCTCTGTCTAGGTGAATTATTTGCAACAGTTCCTTGAGCAAGTAAGCGGCATGTTAGGCTGTGAGGGTGCTCAGGGAACAAAGAGCTGCTATATTTCAAAGCTCACTTCTAATGTATAAAATCAAATAACTGGCATGCAGTGCAGCAAATAGCTATTTTAAAACTTATTTGCTGTCTAGGTCCTTTGTTCCAGCGCTGATTCTGTTCAGTGCACAGGACTTTTTGTTCTCGTTTCCTGACCACAGCTCTGTTAATGCTGTAGAAAGCTGCTTTTATGTAATGGGCTTCAGCCTCAAAGGCAGAAATCTATTTGTTTATTTTACAGGATCGTATGTATTAAGTTGTGCTAAGGAAGAAATAATTTCTGGGTTTTCATGTACTTGCATTTTCACAAGAGTAAAAACCTTCTAGAGATAAGGCCCAATTATAAGTAGGACTGAAATCTACTTGATGTAAGATTGATTCTGCTCAGTAAGAAGTATTAGATCTTTTTCTCCTGTTTCATGGCTTCCGAGGTGACCTCAGTCACTAGAAAAGGCTAACGTAGCCCTAACTTTGGGGATATCCTGTGCAACATGCTCTAGGTGAACGTGCTTTAGCAGGGGGGTTGGACTAGATGATCTCCCCAGGTCCTTTCCAAGCCTTGCCATTCTGTGATCCTGTGATTCTGTGTGAGGGGAAATCGTAGTTATTAGACACCAGCAGACAATCGTAAGTTGTGTCAAATTTTCCGATGTTGTGGCATACCCACTTTAAAAAGATAAAGAATAATATTAACTTACAAATACTTACAGCGATACAACATAACCTTAAATATTAATTTTCTTTTTGCCACTGAGTGATACTTACTAGGAAATCCTTTTATTTGCACATCCAAAGGGAAATACTCCCCAGGAGTTCTGATACGGGTGCACCACAGATGAAGTCCAGGATGTGCTGCCAGCAAGACTTTATTCTTTAGCTGTGGTGTTTGTTTGCTGGTACCTTAGTAGAGCCAATGATAGCGGTGGAAAGGAGTTCCCTGACTTTCCTTTTCTTTCTTCCTTCACTCACTGAGGTGCATTGTGTATGGCATAAGCTGCAAATGAAGGTAGATTGTTACAAGAATGGAAACAGTCCCCTTCCTGATTCTGACACTGGCTATATGCTTATCCATCATTTGCTCACCATATAGGGAGAAATTCTTCTCATTTTGAGGATTTATTTTTGGAGATGGAAACACTTACTTCTGCTGGAAAGTTGAGATTCCCCGACTGGCTCTGTCCAGTTGCTCTCTCGTATGAGTATATGGGACTGCCCATCGGGAAAGGCAGAAAGCAATGCAGAACGTCTTTCATTCTGCTATAGCTAAAGTGCAATTTTGGAGGTTTTTCTCTGTTTCGCTCTTCTAGCTGGCAGAACTGGAAAGAGATGTGCCGGGGAGCCAGGAGGTATGCTGGGAATACAGAGACCATATAAGCTTGCCCAAAAGACCTTGTCGGTGTTAGATATATCAAGATCTGGGTTGAATGGCTTGAAAGAAACATCCATGGATTATTAGGGTTTTTAAAATGTTATTTCTAAACTTGTGAAAAACGGATTTTTCTCTTAAACCATTGCAACAGCCAGGTTATCCTGGTTCAGGTTGCTGCGTACCTGCTGGCATAAGGCCATACAGGAGGTATTTTCAGGCTGTTGGGGAATCCCAAATAGGACATGACCTCAAATTTGGGAAATGTGATGTAGTAGTACCATTAGTCTGAGAACATTATGCATAAATTGTATTTTTGAAGGATTTTTCCCAAAACAACTGGTGTTGATTTGAAGTTATCATACAACATACCAGGGTAATGATTTCTGTTTTCCTTGTTATCATCCTGTGCTGCCAGGACTGGGAAGGAGGAAGGGGTTGCCAGTAGATGGAGCCGTAGAAATGAAGCTTTGTGCTGCCTCATCCTAGTGAAAAAAAAGAACACAGCCCTATTATATGGTTTGAAAAACATGTAGGAAAAAGAGATAGAAGATGACAAATTACACTTACAATTTATTGTCAGTAAGTACCTATTCTCATTTAAGTTAAACAAAGATCAAGCAAACCCAATCAATTATATCAGAAAAAAAAGGAAAATAAATCTGGGAGAAATGTACCCAATGAGTGTGAGAAACTAGGTAATAAAATGTCTTTGCATTACTGTCCATCTAATGACATATTGTAATATGTGCACAAATAGAAGGCTGAAAAATTATTTGAAGTGGCAGCTCACTTTATCCCACAACACAATAGTTAATAAGGAAGGAGAGCTGAAATTTTATGTCCCATAACTATAGAGATGAATACACAGCATTGTATAGTAGAAGAACTTGTTCAAAAACCAACTCACTCAACCAAGAAAGCCAAGTAAATAAGCTTAAACAACTTTGGGGTTTGTGTTTTCCAGCTCTATCTTGTATAACTTTCATGAAAAGGTAATGAATCTATTTAACTGAGGTAGCTTAAGCTTGTTTGCATTACCTCTGGGGAAGAACTCAAGAAGGTTGTAGCTATAACAAAAACAGGGTTTCAGTTTTGTTCTGCAGTAGAGTTGCTCCAGAAATATTTCCCTTTTATTCCTCTCACTTCACAGTCTCTGTTCCAAAAAGCTGGCTGCCTTAAACTGCTCTGTACTGGGTAGCTGCCAGAAAACTCGACCTTTTTCTGACCTAATATCTGT